AGTGTCTTGTTAATGATAACTATATTTTGATTGAGAGAAAGTAATTATATTATATTATATATTATAACTGTTTATTAGATGTGGTAGTAGTGTCTTGTTAATGATAACTATATTTTGATTGAGAGAAAGTAATTATATTATATTGTATATTATAACTGTTTATTAAATGTGGTAGTAGTGTCTTGTTAATGATAACTATATTTTGATTGAGAGAAAGTAATTATATTATATTGTATATTATAACTGTTTATTAGATGTGGTAGTAGTGTCTTGTTAATTATAACTATATTTTGATTGAGAGAAAGTAATTATATTATATTGTATATTATAACTGTTTATTAGATGTGGTAGTAGTGTCTTGTTAATGATAACTATATTTTGATTGAGAGAAAGTAATTATATTATATTGTATATTATAACTGTTTATTAGATGTGGTAGAAGTGTCTTGTTAATGATAACTATATTTTGATTGAGAGAAAGTAATTATATTATATTATATATTATAACTGTTTATTAGATGTGGTAGTAGTGTCTTGTTAATGATAACTATATTTTGATTGAGAGAAAGTAATTATATTATATTGTATATTATAACTGTTTATTAGATGTGGTAGTAGTGTCTTGTTAATGATAACTATATTTTGATTGAGAGAAAGTAATTATATTATATTGTATATTATAACTGTTTATTAGATGTGGTACAAGAGTCTTGTTAATGATAACTATATTTTGATTGAGAGAAAGTAATTATATTATATTATATATTATAATTGTAGATGGTATAGTGAATGAAGTAGTGAAAGAATTAAAGAAAAGAGAAGTGAAATATACAGCTGTATTTACTGGACAATCTTCACAACAGGTTAGTCTCTTTATCCAGTCTTTCTTTAAATCTGGGAAGAGTTCAACCAGTAAGACACAAAGCTGACCAGGGGCTTTATTCTTGAAGACTTAACTGAAGATGATTTGAGTGTTCCAGTAATCTGATTGGTCAATCACTAAAATCGATTTTATATTTAGTTTTATTATCCAATCAGATTACTGTATTTCTTAAAATCTGGATTATATTTGATTTAATGGTTTAATGAACTGTCCGTAAGAGAAATTTGAGGGATCGGATCACATGGTCAGAGAGTGTTGTCCTACAGTTGCAATGAAATGATACTTTCCTGCATTGCACACTGAAGTGTATTGCTAGCCTTCATAACCTGCAGGAGCAGAGAAATTGGATATTATCAATCTTATTTTATTTTCTGGATTTCGTCTGTGTTCAAGCCTTAGTAACAGATGATTTTTTAAATAATTTAACTTTTATCAGATGTTGTCTTTCCTTCCAGAAACCAGTGGAATCAGCCCACACCGGACGTCGTCTGTTGGCTGAGAACTCTAATACTAGTATCTTTATCAACGTCACCAATGACGAAGGAACAGCCATGTTTTTCTATGCAAGAAAGATAACTCTGTACAGGACTAATGGCAAGGAAACATTGTTTAATATGACTCTACCATACGATGATAAAAGCTATAACAAATCAAAGTCGTTCATTGGCAACAGTACTGGAGTGTAAGTGAAGATTGTACTATTATGTTAATTGAAATAAGAAAATGTTAAACTTGGATAGTTATTTGGGTCTTCAAGGATCTATCAGTTGGTCCTTGCTCAAACATCTTGGTATTAATCTTTCGTGAACTACCCTTGAAATTAAGGCAAATACAAATATTACATTTAGATTAAACTTACTTTCTGTTATAAAATATAAAACTGTCCAAATTTCTATATTTTTATTGATGCATTGTGAATCTAAGACTGTCATCACAATTTTGAAGGTAATATTTGAATTCAGTACGTACAGTAGTTAAGAAAATACACGTATAGATGTGTGATCACCCCGCCAGTCAATCAAGTTTCGTCACTCTCTAGTCTAGTTTATCAAATCTATTGAAACCTGAATGTCGTTGAAACATGCTTTTCTATTGGCTGCTCTGAATGACCCAGTTAAATTCGATTGGTTAAAGCAGAGGTCAACAGGTTAGGTCTAAGGATATTGATAAGCAGAAACAACAGCAGAGCCTTTAGATCCTGACCCTAACTAGAGAGGCTACATAAAAATAAAAGCTAATAAAAAACGGATTAGACTGGTCCATAATTAGACTGGAGGATACATGACTAACAGAATATATGGGGTTATGATATAATATATTGTATTTATAATTCCCTGACAGTCATGTTAGAATATATATATTTATTATTCTAGGTTTAGTTTACAGTATGAAAATATTGAGAAATATAATATAGACATGAGGTAATAATTTAACCTATCTTAGTATCAAATATCAGTAATAGTCTGTTAGTAGACCATTCTGACAACATTAACCGTCATTGTACCAAACAAATCAAACACATGTTTTGAAGGGAGGATTTTGAATGAAAGTTTGATTAAAGTTAAAGGGACAGATTAGTAATTTTTGATTGATTGAGGTTGATTTGGGTCTGGTAAAAAAATGAACCTGTAGTATATTGAAAGCTAAGATGCGTCATACAGACTGTGCATGAGATCCCTCAAATGTTGGAAATCTAAAAAGAGCAAGCTAATGCGGCTGTCTTGGCAAAAATTACCTCATTGCACCCTGCATGGCGTGCAGAACAGTAGGATGTACAACTCCATTCATTTAACTTTAATCTATGAATTTTAGGTTTGAGTTGACACTAACTCCGTCGTTCCGTCTGGTTATCAGTAATTTCACTCTCAAGGTGAAGAATGGTACTGACGAGCCGGTGGAGAATTATATGGACGTCAAGGACTTAGAGCTAGATTTCCCAGCTATGTTCTCTTATCATTGTACAGCCTTTAATATTCTACAGAGGAACAGAACTAAGGGTACCCCTTTTTACAGACTGAATATTGACGGCTTTCAGGTGAGTTAGATTTGGCTACTGATGTCAAATAGAAATATCCATACTTCTGTCTACAAGCTAGTCCGTGGTCCAATTAGGTACTCAAGGATCCTTTCTAACCAACTGTTGATTGTTCAAACCTGTTGGCAGTGATCCTTGGACAAACCTGTTGGCAGTGATCCTTGGACAAACCTGTTGGCAGTGATCTTTCCTGGCTCGGTTAACTGGATAAATGAGGAAAGATGATTTATTCTAAATCACTCGACTGTTGGGGGGATCTGTTTTTACATACATTGATGCTCTTATACACTATTTATTCTCATGTAACTAATTTATTTACTTTCTTATATTGATTGTAGTTTCAAGCCTTTACACGTAGAGATCAGTTCGGCCATGCCTGGGATTGTGTCACCTTCTTTTCAACAGCTATATGGATGGCTCTGTTCTATGGGTTAATATTTATTGCTATTTTATATTATGGGATGTACATGATGTTTAATTTGAGCACCATGGATAGATTTGACGACCCGAAAGGAAAGACCATTACTGTCAATGTTAATGAGTAATAGAGTAGAAAGTTTCAGGGACTAGTAGACAATGTCAAATCTTAATTCTTTATTCTTTACAATTCTTTCTTGTTACCAACTTTCTAATACTGTGATTTCAACCCGGTCTCCCTGTCAGTGATGTAGGTGAGAGGGACTGATATAGAAAAAGCGTCGTCATTCGGATGGGACAATAAACTGAGGCCTTGTGTGCTACAGACTGTGTGATCTAATTTGCGTGTGACATCTGTTGGGATATGATACAGTGGTAACAAGAAGTTGAAATGGTAACACATACAATGTTATTAAGTTGGATAACAATACAATCCTCTGCCATATAAAAATATCCTGGATCCTTCAAAACATAATGATCAATATTTCCTTGACTACCATTATTTTTAGAAATAAAGAATTGGGTCTGACATTGACTATGAAATCTATAGATCTAATAAAAAGGACTGTTTAAGCATCATAGATTACTATTGAAACCAATGTCATGTAAAATACGACCCATAGATTTGTTTTGAATGGAAACTTTATGTAGCTGTTGTTAATGAGAAGTTAGTCTGGACATTGAAATATTGAGAACGAGTCATCAAGGTGAAAGAATTATAAAAGTTAATTTATAAACTGACTGGAAATATTTTTCTATTATAATATTCCTAGTCCCTGAAGCTTATTTTCAAATTATTTTTACCAAACATTGAACTGCAATCAAACCTCTACATTTTACTATTATTCTCTCAGTTATTTCTCTCAGTTATTTCTCTCAGTTATTTCTCTCAGTTATTTCTCTAATGTACTAAAAATATCTTCTATCCTTGTTTTCTTTAATTGTTCATTAAAATATAAAACTTTGTAAATCTGACTGAACAATGAAAATGGTGAAATTGATGCTATTGTCCCTGTTTAGAAAACTTCTTTACAATCAATCATTTTATTTTGAGTGCAATCTTGATTGATCACTTCCAGTATACCTGGTGTTACTCAACAACATGGTTTGTTAACTCTTTATTTCTTTTAGAGATTTCACATGGACTATATGGTTTATTTGTCTTGTCTTTTTGTTCCAAAAATTGTCACCAACATTCCTTAATAAATGAAATTCTGTCAATCTGTAAACCTTTTTTTTTCATCTGAAACCACATGATCAAATTTTGTGGTTGTGCTTAATCATGGATCTTATTCACCCCTTTCTCAGTTTTATTGAATTTACAGGACAGTATAAGAGTAAGTTAAATACAGAAAACAAATTGTATTTAAAGTTTAAATTGATATCTGAAACAACTGTACAACATTTACATAATAATATAATTTCAACTAATTTAATTTATTGAATATAAATATTAATTTTTGTTAGTTTGGAAATATTACCCAGGCTGCGACATTCCAGTTATACTTATTCAAATTCCAGCTGTAGCTTTACTAAAATTATGTTGGGGTTGATATTCAATATGAAGAAGCCTACCACGGAGGGTTCTTTTAAAAACACAATCGAATTCTGACACTTTTAACAAATAGGGTGGGGTAAAAATCTTTTTTTACGGGGGCAACATTTTCACAAAGGTCAAGGTTTTACTCCTTCATCTTATACCTTGACTACAATGGCCCACTTTCTTGTTTTATGGAAGTGTGTAAATGCAGTGATTTGATTGAACTGTACACTCGACAGTAAGGCTGTAAGTAGAAATTACACTCAATTAAACATCGAGAATTCTATCCAATCAGTTTAGGTGATGTCCTTTGTATAGCACTTTAAGAAACAGCTTAAAGGGATACTACCTCTTAGAATGGACATAATAGAATCTCAAACTTGGTTAAGAAGTGTATATATTCATTTACCAGGTGTCATGACTAGAAGATTAGAATCTCTATATAAGACGATATTTCTATTAAACTAAATAATTATTCAAAAACATTTCTAAGCATGTTTACAAATTACTTAGTTTAATGAATTATTACTTAGTTTAATAAATTATTACTTAGTTTAATGAATTATTACTTAGTTTAATAAATTATTACTTAGTTTAATGAATTATTACTTAGTTTAATGAATTATTACTTAGTTTAATGAATTATTACTTAGTTTAATGAATTATTACTTAGTTTAATAAATTATTACTTAGTTTAATGAATTATTACTTAGTTTAATGAATTATAACTTAGTTTAATGAATTATTACTTAGTTTAATAAATTATTACTTAGTTTAATGAATTATAACTTTGTTAAATGAATTATTACTTAGTTTAATAAATTATTACTTAGTTTAATGAATTATTACTTAGTTTAATGAATTATTACTTAGTTTAATAAATTATTACTTAGTTTAATAAATCATTACTTAGTTTAATGAATTATTACTTAGTTTAATAAATTATTACTTAGTTTAATGAATTATTACTTAGTTTAATAAATTATTACTTAGTTTAATAAATTATTACTTAGTTTAATGAATTATTACTTAGTTTAATGAATTATTACTTAGTTTAATGAATTATTACTTAGTTTAATGAATTATTACTTAGTTTTATCATTTTATTGGATTATAGAGGGATTCAGGTGTATAGTTTTCACACCAGGCAATTTAACAAAGTTTAAAAATTTCAATATTTTGGTCACCTTAGAGGTACTATATTTCAAGGCGGGAAATCGGAACCGTAGAGCAATGCGTCAGAACCTCGCGAAGCCTGTGGATGTAGTTATTCATTGATTTTCTGTGTTTTATTCAATTGTCTCATCTTTTACTATTCCATAACAAACTCGTAATAATTCTACAGGCTAAAATACCTAAAATTTAATTGAGTGTTTGTATTAAAGTTAGTTCAAATTTTATCTACTTTGTGTCGAAACTGTTGAGAGTTATCAGCAAATTTCTACGCAAGATAATACTTTTTAGGTTGCAAATTTTTATATGGACCTATGATCTGTAACATCTCTTCACATCGTACAGGGACTGTACAGAGGTTTTCTAAAAATATTTATTTCGTGAAGGGTCTTATGTGATAAAGCATAATTTGTGATTAGTGATGTCATCAAACACCTAGTTTTATTAGAATTGCAGGAACCATAGACGTTTTATTGAAAATTGGAATGGTGTAAATTGATGCTATCAGTTTCCCTGATACATATAAAAAAATTATGAAAAACTTTTTTACAATCTCTTTATTATTTATCTGATCCCACATTCTGTTAATGGGTCAACCCCTATGATTCTGTCGAGATAAACAGACATGTACAGAAAACTGAAAGTTAGAAATGATAAAATAGCCTCTGGGTAGGTCAGAATTATCATTCCACAAGCAAACACTGGACATAAAACATCTAACATATTGGTTGAGGAACATCACTACTAAAGGTGGGTGTGGTTTTTATATTGTCTGTCAAAAGATTATAGTTTTGTTCTTCTGAATGCGGGTTTTGACATGGCCTGCAGCTTGGACTGTCTATAATATCACTATAAATCGCAATTCAGATGTTGTATTTAGTTGAATTGTTATTGAGCCACCCCCATCCCCATTCTTTTCAGCCGATATTCGCCACTTTGTCACAAAACCCCAGTTAAGTTAACCAAATGTCAATTATAGATGAACAGATGCAGTAATGAGAGTTTTCCTTTGAATCACCCACGTTATTTGTGATGAAAATAATTAGAAATTATATCTATATTAAAACATAAGATAATATTACCACTGACTTGCAATATAACTGATCTTCCAGAAATATAACTACTCGATCGTGCTTGTTTTTCAAAAATTAAAAAAAAAATTAGTGATTAGATATTTGTGCATCAGCAACATCGGCGTGCCAGCTTGATCCAAGTGAAATGCATACTTTGTTTTTTGCAGAAGACACGTCTGAAAATTGATTTAGAGAATTCAAACAAGAATAACTTTCATAGAGAATAATGTTTAAACTAAATCATTTTGATTTACATTTTTAATTATATTGGCGTCACCCATGTTGGTCCGTCCGTCCGTCAGTCCGTCACCAATTGCTCGTAAACACTCTAAAGAAAAGGCACAATTATTGACAGATTTTGACGAAACTTGGTATGAGTGTTTATCAGCCAAGGGTGAACCCAATCGAAAATCATAAAAATATCTAGCATGAGTTATTGCCCTTGTTCTTGAAAACGCGTTCAATTTTTAGCTCGTAAACACTCTGGATGGATTTTGACGAAACTTTTTAATATTATTCATTATCGGCCAAAAAAATCCCAAAAGAAGTGTATGAAGGTTGAATATTTCACACAGGTGATTGTTACTGTACTGACAAATATTTTTATTGAAAATCAAAGCGGCCAGTGAGCGTATATTACCTTGCCCGGCAAGCTATCTTTGTTGGCCAGTTCAGCTATAGTTGAAAACAGGCTAGATATTTCCAATGAAAATGAGTGACTTTTTGTACTGAAAAATTCTTCTATTTTACAATTCTATACCAAGTCATTTTGATCAACCCAAAGACAATCTTATTGGTGATATTTTGATGTTGATATTTTAATTCATAGAAAACTAATTTGAGAATTCTTTTCATTAAGAAATACTTACTTATAATTAATATACTTCCTCAAGTAAAAAGTTCATTAGCTGCTACGCTACCGATGTTTTGTCATTATGTTGTTTTGAATTTTGAGTTTCGTTTTGCGGTTCGGGTCGATAGTACTTGGTTTATTTATTGTAGGGCGTAAAACTCCATTCATTTGATTTCATTTCATTTCAGATCTAACCAAGATGGCGTCTAAAGTTTTCAGTGAGTTTGTCCAACAGAAAGTTAGAATGTGGTTTAAAATGATGGATTCCAATCAAAATGGTTCCATGGGATTGGACGATTTTACTCTGGTTGCTGAAAGATTCGGCAAGGCGTATCAACTATCAGTGGAGGAGAAGAACACCATCCAGAAATGGCTAGGGAACGGTATTAATATGCTGATCGAAAAGGGTGAGGCTGCTCATATGGAGCTACCCCTATTCCGAAAAATCCAAAAAGATATGGAGACTGGAACGAAAGTGTCTGAAAATCGTTTCGTGGCCGCTTTCGGAGAATTCGTCACGTCTAATCCAAATGTAGCAGACGACGCCATGAGAGAAATGGTAGGAGTGTATTTCGACATATTTGATCACGATAAAGATGGAGTTATCTCTCCTGACGAAATGAAGATCGGATTGAAATGTTTCGGGATGCAGGGAGAGATGGCGGAAGCTCTGGGGGTCTTGTTCACTGATTGTGAGGGCAAGAAAGATCAAATTACTCGCCAATGCTATGTTGATATGTGGGTCGACTTTCTGGTCGGAGAGGATCGCACCAACAGATTACTCAAAATATTCGCCCCAAATGTACTATAAAGTTAGACAGCTTGGAATAGACAACAATGGCTGCAAAACCTCCTGTAAATATAACCTATATCTGCTTTACACTATTTAGCTTCACCTGTTTTAGAAGGTATAATACCTCTATTCCAGCCTCTGATAGCTATTTGAACAGAATAGATGTCGGCTGCTCTACTCCAGCCAAAAATTTCAAATTATCCATTAGAGGTTGGAATAGAGACAGATGTTTCAGACTACAAGAAAAGGTAAATTTGAAAATAATACCAGAAACATTGTACCCTAAGGAATGAGTTGATATATTTTTCTTTGATACCATCTTTTTGCACTTGTAAAAGGTGCTTCAAATTTGAGTAAATTTTAGCTATAGGTATGAAAAAAGACCCGATCAATTTTCGTCGAGTCAACCTGTTTAACGAGAAGAAACTACCCGAGAGCATGTTTGACATCAATGTTAACAAACTTATATACCCAATGTGTGAATGCAAAATGAAATGAAATGAATGGAGTTTTACGTCCTACTTTTCTGCGCCATGTGGGCTAATGAAGACGGAATTGTGTGAATGCAGAAATCGCATGCAAATCTGTCGCTTTAACAATGTCCTGGGCCAGAAATCACATCTCACATTTAAAATTCTCCTTTTATTTGTTATTTAGGCCTATTGGTGTTTTATGTTGTGTTTTTTTGATGAAATACAAGGTTTAAACACAATTTATTTATTGATAGTGAACCACCATTTCTGTAGTGGTATAATTGTCAAAATAACTGTCCGTAGCACATCGGGTGGAGTTCACGGCAGCTTTATTCGACAGAATCAAGAAAACTGACTGACTTTGACGGCTAGTGTTCCAGCTGAATGGTCAACCAAAAAATTTCTATGGTGCGCTAAAAGATCGGCATCACTTCCAATTTTTTCTTAGAGTTTTCGTGGATCACCGCACAAAATCATCAACTGCACAGCGAGGCTGTAACCGGCCAATTTCTCACTGATGTTCCCTGCGACAGACCCAAAGACATGCACAGGCATCGCCAGTCGTCCTAATCTCATCTTAAATAAAAATCAATTCCCTTCAATTTCCACTCCTTTTCATCTTCCCAGCTCTCATTGTTTCTGAGAGTTGCCCAAAAGTACACACTCTCTCAACAGACCTTCATAAGACACGCATGGATGATTTTGAAATTAATCAAGTGCAATCATTCAAAATTTTATTGTACACAATGTTTCAACAATTTACATTGTCACCACCAGTTTATAAGATGTACTGCTAATGGTTTTATTTTATACAATGTTTCAACAATTTACATTGTCCTCATCTGGTGAAAATGTACAATAAAACTTTGTAAAAATATGTGTTTGAGAGTCATCCCCTAATACCTAAATATCTTTCAAGGATAATATCAGGGACACGGGAAACAACAATGTATCATATAATAAACACAACAATTTTACTGTCTTTTATTTTTTGTATGTACAATGGCTAATAATATTTTTTAAAATTGTGGTAACAAAGTTCTTACTATAGCAACATGTACATCATTATACTTTTAGTCTGATAGTACCGGTATATTAAAACATGGCACAGTGGAGATAAACTGGAATTCAAGATGTTTAAACAACCAAATTTCAATGATATTTCCTTCCCAAAATTTGCAAACATGTAATGAGGGTCCACTTTTCTGTTTCTCAAAATAAACATCGTAGATTAACATACAAGCGTAAACGATATCAAATAACGTTTTTCTTCACTTAACTTACAAGTCGTATGAATTTTGAGAAAAGGTGTCTTGAATTTTGTATTAGAAAACATCTCGAAAAATATACCACAAATTTAGAAATCTCCTGATACGCATTAATTTACGAATGAATTCAGTTATTTTAAATCCCTTCAATAACAATCTAATTATCTCTCAATACAAGTCTCTTGAAAACTCAATAAACCAAATGAATGTTAAACCAAATGAATGTTATCACTATATAATACAAAATAGATTAAATTATAATATTTATATCTTGTATTTCACTTTCATCAGGTAATGATATTTGATCCAAGGGTATAAGATTAGGATCAACGAGAGGTAAACCATTTTTCTCACGATGTTCTATTTCTAAATACGCCTCCCTTAACGCCCAATCTTGCATTCTGAAATATAAAATTCAAATGTTTCTGACAGAAAAATGAAGAATGCACTGGTTTTAGAGGCGTAACCAGGATTTTATTGACAAGAGGGCAGGGCCATCTGAACTCTCGTTTTGGATTTCAGAGTGACTAGCTGCAGTGGAGGGGCATTTTTTGACACCCCTCAATTTCTTAATTGTACTCTTCCATAAACCCACACATATTATTTCAATTAATATGAAGCTGTATTCATTCATTCTATTTAAAGCCCTGACCCTAATAAATGCCCCACCTCCCTTTTTTTCTATAGTAACCCTTGCCTCCATAAAATTAATCAGAAATAGAGGCAGATCTTGAACCTTACATTCTTGATTGGTACTAGATACTTTATGGCATGAATATAGAAATCAATTACAAAATGCAGATCATATATGGTCAAAAATTTAATTTGACGAATGCTGATTAATAAAAAGAAAGGGAACGAAAGATTGGTTTGGTTCCTTAAAAACACTTCAACTTACAAATGATCAGGTTGGTAATATAAAACAAACCCAAAAGCAACAAAAATCAGTGACAACATAGCTGCATATCCTTGATACACAAACGTATCCATTTCTTTATCTGTATAACTTATACCGGCAGAAATCCAGTTCTACAAAACATTTCAAAAAAATAACAAACATTATCATATGGATTTTGCCATGAATTTTTGTATGAATTTTCAACTCCAATGTCCAAGTGGCGTACCGGTAGATGATGTTGTCTGCGTAATACTTTGATGGTACAGTATCATGATAATTGCCATATATAAATGTAATGGGGATTTAACTGTATTTTGGAAATAGGCAAATTACATACAATTTTAAGCCAATTTGGAACTATATGTGTGCCTGTGCAACACACAAATTTCCTTGGATGAACAACATTGATTTAACGAATTGGCCAATTACAATCCAATTATACCAGTATTTATCACGAGACAGGGTTACAGTATATCACCCAGCATTAATGCCAAGCATAGAAATACTCCTACTACAATATAACTTTACAAGACCAGAAAATTTGTCCATTTTCAAAGTGGACATGGCCAGAGACTAGAAATAAAATGTTGTTTTGTAGCAACACTAGAGATATGTGTATTTTCTTCTATAAATACTTTTCACACAAATGGAATAATCCAAAAGTCATTAAGAAGAGTCTGCAATACCATAAGTCAATTCTGTAACGTTTGTTTACCTTGTCCTTCGTAGGATCATCGTCAGCAAAATGCTCTTCGAGTTTTTTCAAATCTTTAGTATTTGGCATAGGTTGAATCGCACCTATTGTGGTTTCCTTTTTGTTTTTTGAAGTACTTATGGTTCGGATACAGGTACATGAGAAGCTAGATGGTTGGAGACGACCTAAACTTGTTAAAATCCGACCTTGTCCCGAAATCGTCCTTAGCAGGCCGGCCATGTTGGAAAATGGTAGTGAGACGTTTCGCAGGAAAATCTCAGTTAATTCGTATTCAACACGAGTGTAGAGTCGACAAATTTTAGATTTCACTTCTTTACTGTAATATATCTATACATGTTGCTTCGCTCGATTAAGATAGAATATTTGCAATTTTCTTGGAAATTTTAATTTGTGATCGATTACTGAGAAGCAATATTCTACTTAGCTCGCCACCTGGAATATAGAAAAACTCGTGCTCGTTACCAAACAACTTGTCGATATCTGTCATGGCGGCAAAACAAACTGACTGAGAACTTTTTACGGCTAATTTTTATGGCCGGCCAGTGGCTGTGTACAAAGGAAAGAATTGAATTATGAATTACAATATTATGACAAAAAACGATATTTTCTATACAATAGAATCTCTCATAGGCTGATAGTACATTCTTCAGATAAAGATGGTGCAATCAGGAACGCTAATATAAAAAAAAAATTCAATGTAATGGTTAACTGTTTTAAATATTTTAAAATATGGCCAATTCTTTCAGATAGAAATATGAATGAAATTTTTGGTGCCAGTGAGGTCCTGAGATGTCAATCTAACATATTCAAGTGTACAATGGGGAGAAACGGTCTTTATTCCTATAATTTCTCAAATATGGCCAGTGACGAATATCCAATATAGTGGACTAGCCAGTCAAAGACAAAGCCCCTAATTGGTCAATTTTTGCACAGTCCACAGTAATTAATGGACTGGGGCAGATTTTTGAATGGAATTGGCACAAACTCAATCACATAGTGCCTTAAGACCTGTGAATATATCCAAAAATTCCAACAAAATGGTATTTTCATGCCTAACTCTGTCACTGTCCTACATGGCCAATTTTTGATATATGGCCAATTTATGGTCTGGTATTGAATTATGAATGACATTTTTGGTGCCAGTGAGGTCCTGAGATGCCAAGCTAACATTACAATGATGCAATACTATAACACCCATCAGTTTATATATCGAATGAAATAACAAGAGATTCAATATTTCTTTGCCTTTGGGGTTCGTTCACAGTACAAGCTGATCAGTATGGCAAAGAAGTCATGGCTATGCACACACGAAATCCTCCATATCAAACGATTGATCTCAGGACGCCCTGATCAGCTAACATGTGAACGATTGATGGCGACGTTCTTTTCTGTGCTGCCCTGCTCTGCTTGTAGTGTGAAGGAACCCTAACTCCATTTAACCAGCACATTCAATCTGATTTCTAGTTGTAGAGATGAGGTTATAGGTGTTATGCTATTACTATTTCGCTTATCAAACGTTAATAAAATTCATCTGTGACATATAAAATTTCTACTCCATCTGACAACTGTCAAAAATAACCTATAGAGGCTAGATAAGAGTCTGTAAATTTAGGGATTTTTCTGCGTGTTACATGCCTATGTTTGCAGCTAACAACGTAACAGCTCAGCAAATAATTGGTTCTTAGGACAGATGAAGTCAGGTTTAACTTGGTAGTTGGTTCTCTCAAAAATGTTTTGAAGGAAATCAAGACATGTTAATTTGAACTAAAAATTTATTCATAAATGAAGAAAAACATGAAGTTAACTTAAAGTGTGTTTCTACTGCTTCAGTATGAGATGCCAGTGCATTGGGAGGTCTAAAAAAGACTAAATGTGAGGAAGTTCTACACAAATCTTTATTCCATTACAAAAGTTGTACTTTGTTGACACCATGTTTCTAAGTGTTTTTAACATAATCAATTTGTCAAATAACATAAAAACTTTACAGATAATAAAAGGCTTTTCATATTTCCCCAAACCCTGAAAGAAATAACAATTTCAAACATTAAAATCTTAATTTAGATGACAACTTAGTCCACAAATAGACATAAAGAAAATCACATAGAAATAGCTTCAGGTAGATTCATACCAAATCAAACACTGCAGAAATAATTTTTTTTGTACTTTTGCATAGAAGCTTTAAACTATTTTATTGTTTCAATTTAGATTGCAATGTATGTGGAATATCCTGTCCAAATATTATACAAATATATTCATTCATAAGCGACTGAGAGCTATTTTACTTTTACACTACTTTTATCAAAACGACAAGATATAATATAATGACGCGTAAAATTCTAAATCAACTATAACTTTCTTATTTTTCTATAAAATCTGGGTCTGTAAAAAGTTATAAGGTTGTCATTCTCACAAAAACCTGGAAAACAGAAAAAATTCAGAACAAACAAGTTTGGTACCTGACTAATGTTGTACTTTGTTGACACCTTCTTTCTAAATGTTTCTACTGAAATCTTCAAAATAGTCACTTTGTCAAATAACATAAAAACTTTACAGATTATACTGGCTCTTCATATTTCCCCAAAGTCTGAAAGAAATTACAATTTCAAACATTAAAATCTTAATTCAGATCAAAACATAGTCCCTAAAAAGACATAAAGAAAATCACATAGGAATAGCTTGAGGTAGATTCGTGTCAAATCAAACGCTGCTGAAATAAAAAAATTTCTACTTTTGCATCAAAGATTAAAATTATTTTATTGTTTCAATTTGGATTCCAATGTATGTGGAATATCCTGTCCAAAAATAATACAAATATATTCATTCATAAGCGAATGAGAGCTATTTTTACTTTTACACTACCTTCATCAATACGACAAGATACAATATAATGACGTGTAAAATTCTAAATCAACTATAACTTTCTTATTTTTCTATAAAATCTGGGTCTGTAAAAAGTTATAAGGTTGTCATTCTCACAAAAACCTGGAAAACAGAAAAAATTCAGAACAAACAAGTTTGGTACCTGACTAAAGTTGTACTTTGTTGACACCTTCTTTCTAAATGTTTCTACTGAAATCTTCAAAATAGTCACTTTGTCAAATAACATAAAAACTTTACAGATTATAGTGGCTCTTCATATTTCCCCAAACACTGAAAGAAATTACAATTTCAAACATTAAAATCTTAATTCAGATCAAAACATAGTCCCTAAAAAGACATAAAGAAAAACACATAGGAATAGCTTGAGGTAGATTCATGTAAAATCAAACACTGCAGAAATAATTTTTTTTTACTTTTGCATAGAAGCTTTAAACTATTTTATTGTTTCAATTTAGATTGCAATGTATGTGGAATATCCTGTCCAAATATTATACAAATATATTCATTCATAAGCGACTGAGAGCTATTTTACTTTTACACTACTTTTATCAAAACGACAAGATATAATATAATGACGTGTAAAATTCTAAATCAACTATAACTTTCTTATTTTTCTATAAAATCTGGGTCTGTAAAAAGTTATAAGGTTGTTATTCTCACAAAAACCTGGAAAACAGAAAAAATGCAGAACGAACAAATTTGTTACCTGACTAAAGTTGTACCTTGTTGACACCTTGTTTCTAACTGTTTTTAACTAATATCTTCAAAATAGTCACTTTGTCAAATAACATAAAAACTTTACAGATTATACAGGCTCTTCATATTTCCCCAAAGTCTGAAAGAAATTACAATTTCAAACATTAAAATCTTAATTCAGATCAAAACATAGTCCCTAAAAAGACATAAAGAAAAACACATAGGAATAGCTTGAGGTAGATTCGTGTCAAATCAAACACAGCAGAAATAATTTTTTCCCTACTTTTCTATGGAAGCTTTAAATTATTTTATTGTTTCAATTTGGATTCCAATGTATCTGGAATATCCTGTCCAAAAACCATACAAATATATTCAATCATAAGCGTGTGCGAGCTATTTAACTTTTACACTACTTTCATTAAAATGACAGAATACAACATAATGACACTTAAAATTCTAAATCAACTATAACTTTCTTATTTTTCTATTAAATCTGGGTCTGTAAAAAGTTATAAGATTGTCATTCTCACAAAAACCTGGAAAACAGAAAAAATGCATAACGAACAAATTTGTTACCTGACTAAAGTTTTACCTTGTTGACACCTTGTTTCTAACTGTTTTTAACTGATATCTTCAAAATAATCACTTTGTCAAATAACATAAAAACTTTACAGATTACAGGCTCTTCGTATTTCCAAACCTGAAAGAAATACAA